CCCGAGACACACACACAAGTTTTAAAAATATATATGTTTTGCTGTTAGAATTGTTTTTAAATTCGGTACAAATACAAATATGTAGGAACTACACGTTTGATTTCACTGCCCTATGTCATTGATTTTACCAGTTGGTTAGCTTCAATTAATTTCTTCTCAGTTGAGTACGCTACACAGTGCTAATGGGTTTTCTGTTTTTAATTAGAATTGGGCTTAGAAACAGACAACACTTAAAAGATTTAATTTGTAAAAATAATAACGGGAAGGCAATGACATTGCCTGACTCTAGAAAAGCACCTCTACAGCCTCAAGAATGGCTGCCTTTCTGCAGGTCACTCACCTGGCGCAAGAGCTTCATATCCCTCAGGACAAAGGCAATGTAGAAGAGCGAGGCAAAGCAATTCAGGAAGTTGAACTGACAAAAAATGAGAGCAACATTTAGTCTTGCTTCACATACTTCATATTTACAACTGTAAATATAGCACTTAGGACGTAATGAGAGACTTCGAGTCCAGCAAGAGGCAGACTGGTTTCTCCCATCGCCCTCCTCCTCGGCAAGCACCTCTCTAGGCCCTGCGCACAAGGCAGGGGCGCCCAGAGGAAAACTCAGGCGGCTGGACTGGCTGGAGACCCAGGGCGGGGTGAGTGACACAACAGCACCAGCAACAGCGACAGCACTGGCGCAGCTGATGCCCGTTTCTACCATGTTCTTACAAAAGAGGGAGACCAAGGCCCACCATTCCCCACCTCCACCTGGTAACCCAGGTAGCCCAGGGGGTTCATTCCCCATTCACCCCCCTTAGAAGCTTGATGGCAGCAGATAAGCCCTAGGGAACTGATTGGGACCCCCACTAACAATGAGCTGCCAGGGCCTACGTCTCTGTCCCTCCACCCTGCCTGGCCTGCCACTCCCCTGCCCCATGGAGATCTGCCAAAATGTCCAGGAAGCACCAGCAAGAAGGACCCCGCCCCCCACCACAAGTAGCCCCAGCCCCAGCAGCCTATTTGTAGCCATGGACCTGAGACTCCTCACCCTCAGGAGACACCTAGGTGGATGAGTGGCACCAATAAGAGAGACGAGCCATAACAACCAGCTGAGTCTGGGAGGCGTCTTTGTCACCACAGGCCCAAGACACCCCTGCCCTGCTCAGACACACAGTTCTGGGCTGGGGATCCTACCAGAACAAGTGTCATTTCTCAAGCAGTTCCCCTGCCTGAGAACCTGCAATCGACCCCTGCACTACGGGGTTTCCTCTCTGCCCCCAGCTCCATGCTGGCTACTTCCTGCTCAACAGCATAATTTCTTCACCAAAACTTATAAAAATAATTTAATGTTCTATCACTAAATGGATTGTCAGTAACTGGAGGGATTGTTGAGTAGTGAAACAGTCCAAGAAGTCACCAAAAAGAAAGAGTAGAAATGTGGCTATAAGGCAATCAATTAGCTTTTTACATACATAGAAATTGGCTATAATACTAATTTCTAATTTGAAGTCTTAAACCACATGCGCATTTATAATAACACTTCTGAAGGTTATGTAAACATACCTGTTAGTCAATCCTTGTCTGCTTGCTCAAAATACATTAACTGTGTCATATTTTAAATTAGAAGCAAGTCTTCATATTTATATTCCTAAATATTAAATGGTACACATTAGTTTCTCAATTAAAATGAATTTGTATATAAAAACTCTACTTACCACTAACACTTTCAAAATTAGATGATTCTGGTAGGCAGATTCCAATCTGTGATTCTCTAAAACATTAAAAAGAAGAGGTCATTTCTCTTAGATAAGACAGCAACAGGGAGCAGTGTGGTGAGGTGAGCGAGATGTGCACTGTGGGCAGGGTGTTCAGCGACAGAGGCTCAGTCTAAATGCGCTAGGCTGTCAACCTGCCTACTGCCCGCCACCAGGAGCATCAGGCAAGGAAGAAGCTAAGGTTGGGACACATTTTGGGGGGTAGTGCAGTATCACTGTAGTCTGAAATTATTTTTAAAATGTTACTGCTACAGCCCTGGCCGGTGTTGCTCAGTTGGTCGGGCATCATCCCATGTACCATGTAACATGCCTAGGTTACGGGCCCGATTCCCAGTAGGGGGCGTGCAGGAGGCAGCCCATGGGTGTTTTGCTCTCACACTGATGTTTCTCTCTCTCTCTCCCTCTCCCTTCCTCTATCTCTAAAAATCAATTTAAAAAATTTTTTTTTAAATCTTACTGCTACAAAGAAATGTGGGACATGTTGGCAAATGATCCCATAGGTAGCCACCCAGAAAAAGACCCTGTGTAAGTGGCAGTGGTAAAACTGACAGCAACCTCTAAAGAGTAGGGCAATAAAGCAAGTTTTCTGGACAAGCGGCTTGAAAGGCCTAACTTAAAGGGAAACACACATTTCCATCCTCAGCTAGGAGGAGGGAACACTATGCAGGTCCCAGAGCAGAGGGACAAAAAAACAAAAGGCAAATTCAGAGCAGTGTCGTTGCTCAATGAGAGGCAGCGTTACGCTGACCTGGATCTGAAACCCAGCTCAGCTACTCAGCCATTGTCTGACTTGGGCAAGTCACTTAACCTCCTGACACTCAGCCTCCTCACCTACAAAACAGGACTGACCCCCAACCCCCTCCCAGGGTCACTGCCAGGATTAGAAATAGTACAAAACCTTAGCCCAGTATCAGCAAAGAAAACCACCCACCAAATGGTAGCTGTTGTTGTTAAATGACTAATGAAAATAATTTAAAATATCTCTGTGGTTAAGTTAAAGCCTAGACTTCTTCCTGGGAAATAATAACATATTTGTTTCTTTGAATGAATAAATAAATTAATGCGTGAGTGGCCTATCGAGACTTTTTAAATGGCAAGTAGGTTCCTCTTTCACCACAGACGTGCACACGGACGCCTGTCCCCACTGAGTTCAGTGGCAGTCCTCAGTGCCCCGCACAACTAGACCACTGGTTTTCAGATATGTAGACATAGTTCATTGGGCCAGAGTTTCAGGGAGATAACTCCATCTGTTTCATGCTTAGCATAAGACACAGCATCATCATGTCAGGAGCACAGGGTTAGAGCACAGAGGTGTGGGTTAGCCTGGCTCCGCCATCTGCTGTCTGATCCTTGTGAAGTCTCAGTATCTTTATCCATAAAATGGTGACATGTGTCTATCTCATGGTGTCCTGGGGAGGGGAGGGTGAGATATGTGGGTAAAGCACTTAGCAGGGTACCTAGGCCGCAGTAACTAACACTCGGTGAATGACAGCTGTGATGACTGTTCTGGAGGTTGCCGGAGCTCACAGAGCCCAGGAACTTCTCCTAGTGACTCTATAAGGAGCCAGAGCAGCACCCATCTGCTCTGCGAGGTAGCAATGATCTGAATCCTATGGTGTAGGCAATATTTCTTACAGACACAGAAGATAAAAACAAAGCATCAAGTCTTACCCCAGGAGGTTAAGAACTCCGCCGCGTATCGATAGAGGCGGTTCATGATCTCAATCACGATGGCATAGATGATGCTGGGCACATACAACAGGATGCTGGTCCACTCAGACCCGCTGTTCTCGTGGAGATCCAAGGCCCAGGCCTCCATGTCGAAGTAAATCATCATGACATACAGAGAGAAATAGAGGCAGAGGCACACGAAGGGCAGGGAGACCAGGTAAATGCGCAGCTGTCGCTTGTAGCTGGGGTAGAGGGGCTCCTCCCTGCCCGTGATGGAGTTGATGCCCAGGACGCCGTGGAATCCTGGCCGGGGCTCCTCGAACTGCCTCTTCATGACCAGGGTCCCCCACCTGTAGGTCATGCTGGCACAGCCACGCTTCCACACTTCCAGGATCACCGTGGACCAGATCAGGTTGAACGAGGCAAAGACCACGTACTTGTCATAATCCTCCCACACAAACAAGTAATAAGGCAGCCCGATGACTGCCATGGGGATCAAGGCAAAAGTAAAATACTCCAAAAATCCAAAGTACAGAGCAATCGTCTCCCCAAAGTAGCCACGAATACTGTCTAAAATAAAAGAAAGAAGAATAAAAAGACCTTAAGTACAGACCACCAAAGACTTCCTTTTATCATTTCAAGTAAGCTGGTTCATTTCTATAGTTAAGTGGGGACCACTTAATACCGCCATTTCCCAATCAGTGTGTGACGGTAAACCCATCCTCCACACAGTACAAGGACCCCATTTATCTGTATTGTGTGCCCGGCACTCCCCCAGCTTAGGGCCCAGGCTCTGCCAGGCACCCCGGGTCTATTTCCTCAACTGGCAGGTGCCTTCCTCCCAGAGGAAAAATCACTGAGGGGTTTGTCCCAGATCTCCAAGGTCCTCAATGCAACTCAGACATGGCCAATAAAACTTTTAACTTGGGGTTTAATTGGTGCTCCCCACTTTTCTCCCACTTTAATACTGTAGTTACAGATGTTCTTTCCAAAGGAGACTCCCCATCTATAGTGCCCTGTTCCTCCCACCTGAAGATACAAATTTTCATCAGTGCATCATGGCCAATCTTTCAATACATGGAAGAAAAATTATTTAAAAGTGCAGAACAGCATTCTACACACTGATTTCTACAACAGCCACGGGACACATTATCTACACCTCCGTGCAAGCACCAGGACAAGGGCCAAGCAACATCACTGTTAACATGCCATGAACTTGACACAAGCTACTTAATTCAAAAGAGGTCACAGGCACTGCGGCCTCTGTCGGCCACATCCATGTGGGCGAGGGTCTGGATTGTAAAAGTCCCCAGTCTATGGCCATGGGTTAGAGTAAACTGAGATAATCTATCTTCTCCTGTCCTTATTTTTTTCTAGCTAACCCAGGAGATAGATACTAAAACACTGGGTATGATAAGGTTGCCCCAATCTGAACCAGGTTAAAGAATATCTAAGCAATGTAAAACAAATGTGCTCATGGTCCAAATCAGATGGCCACCCTCAAGGGGAAGTTCATGGTCTGCCTGTGCCCCAGCTACCACCACCAGTCCCAGCACCCCCAGAGGCCCCAAACCCACCACAGCCATGCTCAGCCTTCACGGGAACTCATTTTCTACCCTCACTTTCTAAAAGTAGCTAATAGATGACACTTCACTGACAAGCCTAGAAGCAATATTTAAATTTACTACCAACTAAATGCCAAACAAAGTTTAAAAAAATGTCATAGTGTAACATAAAATGACTATTGTGTCACCTGGGACTATAAAAAACAAACCTATTCCTTTCAAAGACTACAAGAAAAAATTCAGAATACAATTTCAAAATTTAATCTTAAAAACGATTTTTGTTCGGTTACAATACTGTAATAGTTGTTTTCAGAATGGAAATTAGAAAGAAAATAATTTTAGAGGGATTCCCTTAAACAAGATCAGAGAGAAACGTCTTTTAAGGGAAAACTGATAGTAATACTTATGGTGAAATCAGCCAGCTTAAATATAATTCTTATGCTTAAAAAACATAACTACACCCAAAAATTTGGGCATCCATATTGACATTAGTTTATTTATACAAAGTATGTTCAACACACAGCAAATAAAGCCATGGTTATTTTAATCACTGTATCCAGAGAAAATGGATAGACAGCAGTGATATACACCAAGGTCCTTATAAACCTTTAGACAGCTAGTCTGCCCCTAAGAATGAGCACAACTTGCCCCTAAGAATCACTCCAAAGGATTACCTCTAGAGAAACAGAAATTCTCAAATACAAAAGATCCACAGTCAAACTAAATTCTTATAAAATCTCTTCTACTCCAGCTCTGACACATACTCATGAAGGACACTCCGATCTGCCTGTGTTGTTGGTGAAGTTTAGAGAAAGCCTGTAACTCAGTGCATCTAAAATTGTGTTAGAAATAAATAAACAGGTCATGTAACCCATCTCACTCCCCCGCCCCGACGTTTTCCCCACATGCAGCTGGTACCCTGTCTGGCGGAGAGGAGAGGTAACTACCCACCAAGGGGGGTGACACCACCGCTGAATCTCAACTTTTCATTGGTAGGTCTCCCTCTTCTCTAAGGGAACAGCTATTGACACATACCTATGGGCTGACACTTGAAATTAAACCGAGTGTACCAGGTGTCCTCGAGCTTCTTCAGGGCTTCGTTGTCATGCAGCGGGAACACCTGGACCACGATGCCAGACGTGAGCAGTCTCCTCACTGCAGAGGAAAATGTGCGACATAAAACAGATTTGCAATTGCTCATGACCTTCTCCATACAAAGTCACACCAGTCAGAGAGGGTGTTACCCAAAGATCAAGCTCACGCCGCCTGCTCCAGAGGTGTATACTTCTCTTGTGCTGCAGAATGTCAACATCTTTACTATTTCCTTTGACTATGAAAGCAATACAAGTCGATGTAAAATTTTAAACCATACAGAAATGTACAAATTAGAAATTGAGAGGCCCTGGCTATTCTCTCCGTCCCCCCAAAATAACCAGTTATGTGTATGTATATATATATATATATATATATATATATAT